GAGAGAGAGAGAGAGAGAGAGAGATAAGAGATAATTAAAATAAATAAATCGTAGTAAATAATTCTATGAGAATATCGTTGGCTGTGATTATTTTTGTGCAGACTTCGAAAAAGAGAGATGCAGTAATACGAGCAATAACGAAAGTATGTTTAATATTAAATTAAACAAGTTGTTGATTTAAAATTTTAAACCAACATTACTATTATATATATGTAAATATTTTTCCCATTTTCTCTAATAAATTCATATTATATTATCCATAAATTTCTTGTAAGCTGAATCGTATATTCTATTAATCTTCATGTATCTTCATAAATGTAATATGGTTAGATTATTAGCAGCATATAGAAATATTACATCGACATTCAATAGTCGATATTTTATAATTTACGTTCGACTTCGTTTGTGAATTATATATGAAACTTTCAGCCTGCCAATAATAATTTAACTGAGCTCTTTGTATAATTAACTTTATAATTGTATCAAATTAAGAACTTCCATAAAATATTTTCGAAAGAGAGAAACATATTGCTGATAAATATGTACTTTCGAAAAAATATTCTAAATCTGCGTGAATATGAATATAATAAAACCCTTCTACCTGACATCATTTTCCAAGTGTATAATAATAAACACGTAATGTTAGTTTTTGTACTTATAGCAAACGAGTCCATGAAACAAATTTCTCATTTAAATTCATTTCAGCGCGATGTTACTTTTTCCATGAAAATACATTTCCATTTGCGATATTAATACGCGAACTACGTCGCGGCGAGCGAACTACGTGAATAATGATAATGTCGGGAAATGAAGTTGGATTGAAATACTTAAAAATCGAGAGATCTCTCGTAAATTTCGCCTTTCGTAATGAAAGTTTCATCGATAGAATAGTGGAAATTCTTGCAGGATTTTTTAGCACAATTTCTACCTTTCTCGAAAAAAAAAGATGGAAACCATAACTACGAATCAGTCGGGAAGCTTATGTTTTTTCACATTTACAAGAGATAAAGTACTCGTAAAAAAAATGGCTGCTCCTTTCTCCTGATTTAATCGACTAAGCGGCTTAGTCGTTCGGTCTCTGCATGGCTTCCGTAAATCTGTCCGCAGAAAGAAGACCCCTAACATATACCCCCGTCTATAAGACACCGCCACAACGAAGAAAGAAAGATCGCGCCACCGATGAAGACGCTTCGCCGGAGAAAAGGCCGATCGTTCAGCACGGTCTGGACCTGCCTCCAGATCCGATATTGACTGACTGCCTGCCAACGCCTACCATAAATTATCCGCAAAATCACGTGTCTCAGCAAAGCGCTTACAATCATCCGCCCACGATGGCTGATTTTAAGCAGATGGCGATGGACGCCTACAATCAGCGTAACAACCAAAACGTAAGTGATTGTAATATAATATTGCATCTTATTTTGTTATTTCTTTGGCATTAATCCTTAAGTATTTATATAGTAAAAAATTAATTCTTCACCAAGAAAGAAATCCATGATAACTGTGATTTTAAAAAAATGCAGTTATATTAAGATCAGAAAGTAAACTCAATATGACTAATAACATTATAATATTTGCGTTACAAATAGCACTTATTTAATATTCTAACAAAATTTTGAACGAGAAGACTTCTTAATATTTTCGCGCAAATTAGTGAGCGAGGAGGAACAAGGAAAAAGTAAGTCAAATTATGTTCGAGCGCATCAAATAAGCGCTGCATTTTTTATTTTTTATGTCTGATTTGATCTTCGTTGAAATATTGCGTCTAACTTCCGCAAAGCAAAATCAGAAAGGCTGTTTTAAATATTAGAAGCTCGAAGCAGAGTGATGGGAAGTTAGTCAAGAGGAGGAATCGGTTGCTTCAATATGCGGCAGTCTCCCACTTTAACTTTTCCGGTTTAGCAGGATCTTGAGTTATCTGCGCTTTCGTAAGTTTAATTACGTCGAAGTTTTCTCGATAATTTGACGAGGCCAGTCCCGATGTGCGTAACTCGTCTTCGTATTCCGCTATTCTTCTTCAGCGATTGCTTTCTATTTAGATAGCTGAATTAATTGTGCTATATTTAATAAACACGCTGCGAGAAATAAAAATTTATTAATCAATAATTGGTTCATCGATTTGTTAAATTAATAATTGGTACTAAAAAAGTAGTACACAATATCCAAAATTTATTAAAATTATCATCGAATAATAATAACTTTATAAAATATATATTATATTTAAAAAAAAGCCATCGAGATCATGGAACAAAAAGAATACAAAAGACAGATGACACTTTGTCTTTTTTAAAGACTGTTTTATTCATGGAAATGAAAGTTTATGACAGTTTTGTTTTTGGACGGTATCAGCACATGTCATTTGCTTTCACACAATTTCATTAATTTGAAATCCCTTTTGTGTATATGTGTCATCAGCGAAAGGATTAAATTTAATATATTAAAATCTTTTGACAAATATGCGCTTAATACTGTTTTCGCACGGTAAAACGAATGTACTGTATAACACATATATCTCTTTTTTAATCAATAAAATAGTCTGATGAATGTCGGACGTGATTCCTGCTTTCAGATATATTATAGCCTTCAGAGGACGAGCAAAGGACTCTCGTCGATGCCACAGAGGCCCGTTTCATCGTCGATCTCCGCGCAAGGCAAATTCCATCAACCTGAAGTGGTGACACGCTCGAATCGGATACAGGAGAGCTGTATATAAGTTCGAAGGGTTTCCCTGCGGGATCAACCTCGTGAGCTTCTAAGACGCCGCCGGCGATTATATTTACACGTGTAAATGTAACGAGTACGGGCGGAGAGCAGCGTAGAGATCCGTGGATCCCCGAGACGCGAGCACGAAGTCTAACGTGGTATCTTCCCATAGTTGGTACACGAGTTTCGAACCACTCCGCGAAACACACTTAACGTTTACTGTACAAAACCATAGAGAGGCTGATGGTGTGTTCCAGATCGTATTGATGGGAACGCGGTCTCTCTTCGAGATTACGTTATGCCGATGCCGCCGGGGACGGCGCTACATTTTCATATATAATTTTACGGGGAAGATGAGGTGAAATGACATTAGCGAGTTAGAGAGGTACCCGTACATGTCCAAAAATATTTCTTTACTGCCATACTGAGGTATAAACGGTATATCGTAACGTACAAAGAGTTTAACCCCTAAAAGTAGTTAATGTCAATAACAAGGGAGATGAGGCTGGGTCAAAGCGAGCTAAAGAAAATTTTAATGGCGCTTTATACTTTATTCATATACTTCCAGTTTTCAAGTTTTCGCGCATAAAATGACGTCTTTATATATAGATCTTAACATATTAATTCTTTTGAAACTTTTACAATCTATTAAAATTACTTTCAAGTAGTTGCCCTTACAGCAATTGTAAGGTAATACGATCGAGAATATTATTTTTTCGATCAAAGCTCATTCTCCAGCCTTATCCTCAAAATACTAACGATATTAATGTGATCGTATTCGAAGCTCATCACTGCTCATGTTTTTCGTACGCAAAATTTTTATAACAACTCAGACAGAAAATAAATTCGTTCAAAAGACTTCGCCGAACTCGAGAGAATCTCTTAAGGAGCGACGTCTTCGTTCCCGATCACCGATGCGGCACACGAACGTGGATTTTACTGTTTATATGGAACTAGTTTTTGTACAAAGATCTATTGTAAATAGACACGAGCCTGGCCCTAGAATTATAGTCACTAATGTCCGAATTTCATCCGTTACACATCCGTTAAGTCGAGAGATGTCCGATCGCGTAAGATAAAACTCGATGGCATACGAATACGAATAAAGAGAATACGTTTCATCTGTTTTACACAAACAAGCTCATTTTATTATCTTTCCTTACTTGATCTTACATACTCCTCTCCATTAAGACCAAAGAACGAATGGCATGAGAAGGTAAAATTTCTACGGTACGTGAGACGAATTTACTCGCGCAACGTACATACTTGTGTTACGCTTCCATTATACTTTTCCATTTCGAACGTGAATGAAATTTCTGTGCTTGAATTTAACAACGTGGGCATACATGTTACACAATACGTACTTAATACGATATTACCCGATACATATCTCCATTTCCTGTTGTACTTAATGATGTAAAATACCCATCAATTATTTTGCCATTCTATTGAAAGAGCTCAACTTTTCTTTATTTACGAGAATATTCGTGAACCACTACTATTTTAAGAGAATATATGATTATAAGAATTTTATAAATTTTATTTTGTATATCATTTTACTTGATTTGCATCTTTATTTCTTAGGTAAGTACTTTCAGACTTCTAATAGAATTTCTAATATACCTACATAGGCATGATAGGCATGAATAATTACGGAAGATAGTAGCATTTAATAACAATTGAAAATGTAAATGTTTAATGCCATGTCTCGGTATACCGAGACGTGTTGACATCGCAATATGGGGGAGAGGCAATATATTTCGCAAAAAGAAAATTGCCACAAGCGAGACGTATCGCACCATTTCCTCGAGATAAACGCGCCGCGCGAGATGGCTGAAGTGCTTTAAGGAAAACAGATCGTCGCGCCTCTCCATTAGCTTCGAAGAGAGCTGCAAAAGCGTCCTGACAGCTAGGTGAGCATCCTATTGGACGAAGAACAGTAATTCGAGCATTTCGGGGGAATACGAGGACGCGCTACAGTGTTTGCATACATTGTGCATTCTCGGTCTTGCTAACAAGGACTAACCTAGGTTGCCGGAGTAACCTATTATTCTATGTGCCATCCGTGTCTCCAGGGCTGTTGAGACGACCTATTCCGTTCCTAACGCTGTCGTAGCTATCCCCCATCAGACTGTCACCCATTCCGGCTGCGAATTGCGAGACATAATTACGATTCACCCAGGCATCATAATCGAATGATATCGCAATACGTGCAGATGGAACGGTCAATGATCGCACATCGTACCTCATGGTATTCAGTCGACTAATGCTCTGATTGAATCACAAATCCACAATCTAGCCCATACTATTTCCCCTATTATAATACTGATATCGATTTTATTTTGATGCTTCTTTTTTTGTTAAATAAATATTGTTCTCTTTTTCTTCTGAAAAGCTGATAAAATGTCAGCTTTTCATAATCAATGAAATAATTTATCAAGACGAACAGATTCCATTTATTTTGTAGATAAAAAATGTTATTATAATATTTGTTTGTTTATAATTCGGTGTCCTTGCTACAGTTTGTAATATGTTTATCATTAATTATTATCACAAAAACAAGATATTAAGACTTAAAAAAAATTGTAAAAAAATGATATTAATGGTAAATTGTTTGCCATTCTTACAAGAGGAAAAGGTATTGCACTACGAAATTTGAAAAGTAACCGAATCGTGAAGCAGCACGCTCAATTAGTTATGGAAATTATTTCCGACGATAAGTCCGGCACGATAATCCCGCAAAATGATTCCGAGATTCACTAATCGACTTTTTTTGTTGTCGAAGATTCTGTAGGTATATCAGTTGAGTTTTAAAATATACATATGTATGTATATATATGTATATATATATGTATATATATGTGTATATATATATATACACACACGAAATAAAGAGAATAAAAATACATGTAAAAAAAATATGTAAAGTCTAAGTTTATTAATACAGGATCGATAAAATAAAAAATTTTGTTTTTTCTCTTTTTTAAATATGTCACGAATGTGAGTTACTGTTTCTATAGTTTAGTAATAGAGATAATTTTGTATCATTGATACATAATATACAAGAACAATAATGTTTTTAATAATTTCTTTTTAAATTATATTTCGAACAAGAAGGATTAGTAATAATTATTTATGTGCATGTTTTAACATAATATAGTACGTATTTATAGCACAATCATGTCATTATATATTCACGTAATAATTGATGAGTTCGTGCCATAGCATCGTGAAACAAGAGCTGCACTTATGTATCACATAATTTCGTCCATTAAATTCAGAAACATTATTTTAAACCTCATGCTTTCACCGAACCAGGTAAATGATTATAAATTTTCGATTACGTTCCGATTGTTCGCTCAGCGATACTTTTGTTTTGCTTCTATTCTTAATTTAATACTATCATAATGTCAATTAATATAGCAACACTTCTATATTACATATCACACTGCATATCAAATGTATTTAAAATTACATATGTTTAAAAATGGTCATATATAATGGTCATATATTTATAATCATTTTGCCTGGAGCTTAATGAAAATATAAGGTTTAAAATAATATTATGAATGAATAAAGTTATGTAATACAATAAGTACACTTCTTGTTTATATGTGTGAATAATCAATAGCACAGTTTTTTAAAAATAAAAATATTGTACACGAAGTCTGTGACTAATTTTCAGAATAATACGTGCAATAGAATTGCATTGAAAACGTGATTATTCTTTGTCATCGTAGACTTATTGTTAGCTTTGTTGCCAGTGACATTATTCGTCAAGCTAACGACGTACACTCAACGAGTGCAATAAAATTACGTTTGGGACTTAACGTAGTGAAACATTAGCTTTGTGTTAATATGCTCTAACGAATGCAAAGGTAATTTTGTGTCAGGTTTGCAACAGATTAAGATGCAAGATTTAATTCTCACAAAGTAAAAGAGATAGATATGGAAAGAATAAGTATTAGTAAATAAATTTGTGTACGTGACATAAGTAACATTGTGAATCATACACATTGTATCCCAAATTTTCTTTTTTTCCTTTTGCATGGATATGCTTTGAGCAATTTGCGTGTAGAATCCATTTTTTCTTAGTAAAAATTTAATTGGATAATACGGATATTTTACATAACTTTTTAATATTCAACATTGTCTATTTTCACATAAAAATAAGAGATGAGAAAGGGAAGAGACAGAGAGAGAGAGAGAGAGAGAGAGAGAGAGAGAAAAGAGAGAAAATAACATTTAAATTAAAATTCTGTCGAAAAAGTAATATTCGCTTGAAATGGAATAAAGATTCTTTCTCAATTTGTACTTTTTGTAACTAATTAGTAAAAATTTCTAAATTTTCAATTCTTTTCAATAATTAATATGTCGGTATTTCATAGGGTAAAAGATAATTTTAAATTAATTAACAAATCTACAGAAGAGAGAGAGAGAGAGAATGAGAAAGCGTTTAGTATATACTATTTCAGTTTCTCTTCCAGTTATCAAGATTGACATTAAAGAGCGAATGTTTCAGTTATGTAATAATATACGTACGCTAAAATTGAATCATGACTTGAATGCAGTCATAATCACTCATATTATTCACTGATTATTATCTTTGGCGCGTCGAAATCATTAACAAAGTTAATTATTAAAGTTTGATTTCCGAGGCGCCATGTAAATAATTATCGATTGATTACAGTAAAACGGCAAGCAGACATAAACTGTGGTCCAAGTCTCACTACAAATACTTTGAAGCGTTTTTTGATGGACCAATTAGAAGAAAGAATTTCACAAATTGATCAATCAAAAAACGCTTTAAAGCATTTGTAGCATCGCGTTGTCTCATAGTTGTTAAATGTTCTAGAGTTATTTTAAATGTTTGAAAGAGACATCAGTCATTGTAAATATGGCAAAAGATACCTATTATATCTGTAACGAGTCTTCCTTCTATCTTTCCGTTGCAAATAAACAAATTAGCAATTTGTTTCCATCATTATTCACTAATTTTTATAGGTGAAATAATTTATAATTTTTCAATCTTATTCCTTTTTTCCCTTGATTTAATTGCATTAATCGTCCTTTTAACATATCACCTGAGATTACTCTCGGAATTACGAAGAGATCGTTGATTAAAAAATACCACAATAAGACAGATACGAGCTTGTACCAATACATGCCACGTTCTGTATCGATCATTCTTTCAGAGGAGTTGATAAAATATATTTAAAAATGCTGAGAATGCAGTGATTCGTTAAATTTCGTGTCTCCTGTCACTCGTAATAATGTTAAATCTGCACTAAGTATTTCAAGCATAGACAGATAGCATTGTGAAGGTATATATAACGAGAAATATAACTCCAATCCTACAGAACGTTATTGCTCCCTTGATTCTCAAAGCAGTAAATTTCTCGAAGTATTCTTGGCAGTCGGCCTGACTTGGATTTAAGGGGCATAACTCTGTGGCTTGGATTTAGAACCGCGATACCCGCTTTTGCAACCAACACTACGCACACAACGATGGTCATTCGACGAAATGCAACCTTGTCGGAAGATTTCATCAATTAATTGTCGACGATTCTTTTCTCGTAGATCGAAGTTGCTTTTTTAATAATGCTAGCATATAAACGCATTACATTTAAAATACAGTAATCAAGAATATTATAAGCATAGTCAATTATTTAATTTCCTAGTGTGCTAGATATTTGAGATAAATTTGATCTTCTTATTGATATAATGTATATATATACATATTTCTATATATTATATATAGAAATTAAATCTTATATTGTACTAGGTATGAATAATATAGCTATGAATAATATGTACATGAAGAATGGTGAGAAGTTTCATCTTTTCGAATTAAAATATTTTAGATTAAAAATAAACATACATCACTTTAGTTATATTTTAAGCTATATTCTTCATCCATATGAAAATATATATCAGCCATATATGACGATATTGATATGATTATCAGGGAATGGAAGTAACTCGTTACTTGTAACGAAGTTACAGTTACAAGTTACTTTTTT